CAGATGCCCGGCGCCGAGATCGCGGATGTAGGTGTAGTTGGCCGCCTTGCCGTCGCGCGCCGGCCCGCCGGTGGTGAAGCGGGTGGCGGTCAGGGCGCAATCGGATATTCGCCCGGTGCCGCTTTCGACACCATGGGCGACGGCGAAGGCAGCGATCACGTCGAGCAGGCTGCGCCCGGCGCCATCGATGTGCCCGGTCGCTTCGACCAGGCGCGATCCGGCCCATTCGATGCGCCGCGCCGCAACCGGGCCGGGATGGACCATGTAAAAGCGTTCGATGTCGGGCGCCCGGATCATTGCGCCGCCGCGACCGCCGGCACCGCGCCGGTTTCGATCAGCCGCGCTTTCACCGTCTTCTTTTCGATCTTGCCATAGCCGGACTTGGGCAACTCGTCCCAGAAGGCGATGTGTTTGGGCTGTTTGTAGCGCGGCACGTGTTCGGCGATCCAGGCGCGCAGCGCTGCCACATCGAGCGCGGTGCCCGCTTCGACGACGACGGCTGCGGCGCCCACCTCGCCCCATTCGGCATCGGGCACGCCGACGATCGCCACTTCGGCGATCCCGTCGTGCTCGAGCAGCTTTTCCTCGACTTCGCGCGGATAGATGTTCGAGCCGCCGGAGATGTACATGTCGGACTGCCGGCCGGTGATGTAGAGATAGCCGCCCTCGTCCAAGTGACCGACATCGCCGGTGACGAACCAGCCATTGACGAAGGCTTCGTCGTTCGCCGCGTCATTGTTGTAATAGCCCGCGCAGACCGCGGGGCCGCGCGTCGCGATCACGCCTGTTTCGCCGGCGGGCTTCGGCTCGCCCGCTTCGTCAAGGATCGCCAGTTCCATCCCCATGCGCGCAAAGCCGCACGACCCGACTCGCATCGCCCCGTCGTCGAGCGAATGCTCGTCCGCCGGCAGCCACGCGATGGCGCCGGTCACTTCGCCCATGCCGAAATATTGTACGAGCACCGGCCCGAGCACTTCCAGCGCCTTTTTCTGGTCGGCGCGGTACATGGGCGCGCCTGCATAGATCAGATGCCGCAAGCTCGTATGATCGTGCTCGTGCACCGCCTCATGCTCGACCAGCCGTTTGACGATGGTCGGCACGGTGAACATGTTGGAGATGCGATGCTTTTCGATCAGCGCCCAAGCTTCGGCGGGGTCGAAACCGTCGCCGGACATCAGGACGTTCGTGGCGCAGCGCGTGATCTGGATGAACAGGTGCAGCCCGGCGCCATGCGATAGCGGCGCGATGACGAGCGACGCGTCCGCGTGCGACAGGCCCGGCATCAGGTCGGCGGCATGATTGTTGAAGACGAACGCAAGCTGGCCGTGGGTCAGGACTGCCATCTTCGGATTGCCGGTCGTGCCCGAGGTGAAGAAGAACCAGGCCGGGTCGCTGTAATCGACTTCGGCTTCCCGGAAAGGGCCGTCTGCCTTGTGGGCGGCGACCAGATCGTCATAATTGCCGCCGATGATGATCTCGCGGTCGCCGGCAAATCCCGCGTCGCGCACGGCGGTGACGTGATCGGCAAAGCGCGCATTGCCGACAAACGCCTTCGCGCCGGCGGCGACGCCCATGCGCGCGATTTCCCCGGGCCCGAGCCGGAAATTGGTCGGCACGATCACGCCGCCCGCCTTCCAGACCGCATACATGGCTTCTGGATAGTCGAGTTCGTTCGCCGAATGCATCAGCACCCGGTCGCCCTTGCCAATGCCCATCCGTGCGAGGGCATGGGCGATCGCATTGGCGCGGGCGTTCATCTCGCCATAGCTGCGGACGATGTTGCCGCAGATCATCGCCGGATGATCGCCGCGCCGTGCGGCGGCCTGGGTCAGGAAATGCCCCAGATTCATCACCCGGTCGGAGCGGCGCGGAAAACCGGAGCCCATCTCGGCTACCTGAGCCGCTCGACGATCGACACATAGTTGGCGACCGCCGTCCCGCCCATGTTGAAGATGCCCGCTGTCTTGGCGTCGGCCACCGTTGCGCCGGCGGGCTCGCCGCACAGTTGTTTGGCCGCCATCACATGCATCGAAACGCCGGTGGCCCCGACGGGGTGGCCCTTGGCCTTCAGCCCGCCCGACGGGTTCACCGGCAGCCAGCCGTCGATCGTCGTTTCGCCCTCGGCGATCACCCTTGCCCCTTGGCCCGGTTCGGCGAGGCCCATCGCTTCATATTCGATCAGTTCGGCAATGGTGAAGCAGTCATGGGTCTCGACGAAACTCAGATCGTCGAGCGACAGTTTCGACGTCTCCATGGCCTGCGCCCAGGCCTTGCGGGCGCCGTCGAACGCGATCACGTCGCGCCGGGAGATCGGTATGTAGTCGCTGACATGGGCGGTCGCGCGGAAGCCCACCGCGCGCGGCGCGTGCCACGCCTCGTCCAGATTGGTGATGACGAGTGCGGCCGCGCCGTCCGACACCAGCGAACAGTCGGTGCGCCGCAGGGGGCCGGCCACGATCGGGTTTTTGTCGGAGACGGTCGCGCAGAACTCGAAGCCGAGATCCTTCTGGATATGGGCGAGCGGGTTCTGCGCGCCGTTGGCGTGGTTCTTTGCCGCGATCAGGGCGAGCGCGTCGCGCTGGTCGCCATGGGCCTGGAAGTAGAGATCGGCGATCCTGCCGAACATGCCGGCGAAACCGCCCTCAATGTCCGCTTCCTCCGGCACATAGGAGGCCTTCAGCAGAATGTCGCCCACCTCGTCGCCCGGCACCGCCGTCATCTTCTCGACGCCGATGACGAGCGCGGTGCGGATACGCTTTGCGGCGAGCGCGTCGAGCGCCGCATGGATCGCCGCGCTGCCCGTCGCGCAGGCATTTTCGAGGCGCACGGCGGGCGCATGGCGCAGCGCACCGACCCGCAGAGAGGCGAGGGTCGAGGGAAACCCCTGCGGCGAAAAGCCCTCATTGAAGGTTCCGACAAAGACCGCATCGACCTCGGTGGCATCGAGGCCTGCATGGTCGAGCGCCTCTTCGGCCACCCGACCGATCAGCGTTTCGGCTGTCTCATCGTCCAGACGGCCGAAACGTGTATGCGCCCAGCCGGTGATCGCTGCATCCATGGCCATTCCTCCCGCATCGGACTCTTGCCGGTTTCCGCCGGTCGTTCAAGTCCCGCAGAAGGTCTGTTGCACCACCTCCTCCAGCGCCGGCGGCAGGGTCAGCGGATCGTCCGCCATGCGGTCGGCGAACGGGTCGGCCAGCGTCTCGGTGAGCGCGCTGAAGACCGACAAATCGCCCGCATAGCCGGCGGCGATCGCCGCCTCGACCCGGTGATTGCGGGGGATGATCGCCGGATTGGTGGCCTTCATGGCGGCAATCCGCGCCGCGTCGTCCCGCGCTTCCTGGGAAAGCCGGGTCCGCCAGGCTGGGAGCCAGCCGCGGGCAGCGTCCCGTTGGACAAACTGTCCGACAAAGCCGTCGTCGGTATCGCCCGCTTCCCGGCCGAGCGCGGACAGCACGCGGAACGTGTTGGTGAAATCCGCGCCATCTTCGGCCATCAGATTCAACAGGTCCTGAACCAGCCTCATGTCGCCGTCACGCGGTTCGGCAAGGCCGATCTTCGCGGTCATTTCCGCTGCATAGGCGTCGGCGAATGCCGTGCCGTAGCCTTCGAGCAGTTCCCGCGCGATCTCGACCGATCTGTCGGCATTCTCGTCGAGCAGCGGCACCAGCGATTGCGCCAGATTGGCCAGATTCCAGTGGCCGATGGATGGCTGGTTGCCATAGGCATAGCGGCCGAACTGGTCGATCGAACTGAACACTTTCTGCGGATCGTATTCGTCGAGAAAGGCGCACGGGCCATAGTCGATCGTCTCGCCCGAAAGGGTCATGTTGTCGGTGTTCATGACGCCATGGATGAAGCCGAGCGACAGCCAGCGGGCGATCAGCCGCGCCTGACGCGCAACGGCGCCTTCGAGCATTGCGGCGACAGGATTGTCCGCCTTGCGCGCGTCCGGATCGTGCCGGTCGATCACATGATCGGCCAGCGCCCTTACCGCCTCATGGTCTTGCCGCGCATAGAAGTACTGGAACGTGCCGACCCGGATGTGGCTGGCGGCGACGCGGGTCAGAACCCCGCCGGGCAGCCGGTCCTCGCGGATCACATAATCGCCCGTCGTCACCGCCGCCAGCGCGCGCGTCGTCGGCACGCCGAGCGCGGCCATCGCCTCGGACACGATATATTCGCGCAGAACCGGCCCGAGCGCCGCGCGCCCGTCGCCGCGCCGCGACCAGGGGGTCGGCCCGGACCCTTTGAGCTGGATGTCGCGGCGCCGGCCGTTCACATCGACCACTTCGCCGATCAGAAGCGCCCGCCCGTCGCCAAGCTGCGGCACCCAATTGCCGAACTGGTGGCCCGCATAGGCCATCGACAGCGGTGCTGCATTGTCCGGAAAGGCGTTGCCGGCCAGCATGGCGACGCCGGCGGGCGAAGCCAGCCAGCCCGCATCGAGCCCCAGTTCGGCGGCGAGCGGCACGTTCAGCCGCACCAGTTGCGGCTCGGGCACCGGCGCGGCCGCCTGCCGGGTGAAGAATTTTTCGGGCAGGCGCGCATAGGAATTGTCGAAATCGATGGTCATGGCTGGCTCAATATAGGGCCGGGGACGGCACGTACCAATGTCCGTGCCTTGCCATGACGGGCGATGTGCGGATGATGTCAGTGAGCCTTGGCCGTGCCGGAAAGGGACACCGCATGATCCGCCACTTCGTGATGCTGCGCTTTCGCGACGATGTGGGCGCCGCGACCAAGGCCGCGCTCTACGCCGAACTGGCCGCGCTCGGGGATCATCTGCCGGGCATGACCGGTTTCCACGCCGGCCCCAATGTCAGTGTGGAAACGGACCTCATTCGCGGCAATCGCGACGCATTCTGGGTCGACTTCACCGATGCGGCGGCGCGCGATGCCTATCTGGCGGATGACCGGCACCGGGACATTGGGGAACGGCTGGCCGGGCTAACCGTCGATGGCCTTGACGGCATCACCGTCGTCGATATGGAGGTTTGATGATCGACGATCCGCGCGCTTTCCTCACCGGCCTGTTCGATGCGGCCATCGCCGCCGCCGACCCGGAGATCTGCATTGCCGCCAACCTGCCCGCCCCGCCCAAGGGGCGCACGGTTGTGGTCGGCGCCGGAAAGGGCGCGGCGCAACTCGCGCGCGCCTTCGAGCGGCACTGGCCGGGTGCTCTCGGCGGCGTCATCGTTACCCGCTATGGCTATGCGGTGTCCTGCGAGCGCATCGAGGTTCTCGAAGCCAGCCATCCCGTGCCGGACGAGGCGGGCCTTGCCGCCGCGCAGCGCCTGATCGACACCGTTTCCGATCTTGGCGAGGACGATCTGGTCGTGGCGCTGATCTCCGGCGGGGGTTCCGCGCTTCTGCCGGCGCCGCCCGAAGGATTCACGCTGGCAAACGAGATCGCTCTCAACGAGGTGCTTCTGGCCTCGGGCGCGCCGATTACGGTGATGAACGCGGTGCGCAAGCAGTTCTCGCGCATCAAGGGCGGGCGGCTGGCCCTTGCGGCGCACCCGGCCCGTGTCGTCAGCCTGATCGTCTCGGACATTCCCGGCGACGATCCGGCGCAGGTCGCCTCCGGCCCGACCGTGCCGGACACGGTCTCGCGCGCCGACGCGCTTGCGATGATCGATGCGCATGGTCTTGAGCTGCCGCCGGCGATCGTCGGGCACATAAGCGGCGCCGCCGAATCGGGCGTCACACCGGACGATCCGCGCCTTGCGCGCAACCAAGTGCGCATCATCGCTTCGGCCGGCGTGTCGCTGGAGGCGGCGGCCCGGGCCGCGCGCGACGCGGGGATTGAGGCCGTGATCCTGTCCGACGCCATCGAGGGCGAGGCGCGCGACATCGGGGGGATGCACGGCGCGATCGCCCGCGAGGTGGCGCTGCGCGACCGGCCGTTCGCCAGGCCGGTTGTGGTCCTGTCCGGCGGCGAGACGACGGTGACGGTCCGCGGCAAGGGCAAGGGCGGCCGCAACACCGAGTTCCTCTTGGGGCTGGCCCAGACGATCGACGGCGTCGACGGGGTGACCGCTTTGGCCGCCGATACGGACGGGATCGACGGGTCCGAGGACAATGCCGGTGCGTTCGCGGACGGGGGAAGCATCGCCCGCCTGCGCGCCACCGGCGGCGATCCGCAGGCTTTTCTCGCCGACAACGATGCCTGGTCGGCCTTCGACCGGATCGGCGATCTGTTCGTTCCGGGTCCGACCGGCACCAACGTCAACGATTTCCGCGCGATCTTCGTGCGCTGACTGGCGTCTGCGTTCAGTCGAACGACCGGGAATAGACGGCCTGGGAGACTTCGTCCGCGGTCTTCAGCGTGCGGACCACCAGCGGCACCAGAAGGGCGGTCAGGTTTCGGTCGAGCCCGCGTGCGCTCTGTGCCTGCCGCACATCTTCGAGCACCGCACGCACCAGCGGAATGAACCGCAGGCACAGCGAGATCGCCAGCGCGATCTGTTCCTTGGGGACCCAGGCCGGCGCGTAGGTCAGTGCCGACAAAATGCCGTCGACGAACTCGCTGGTCCGCGTCGTCAGGGTGACCAGAGCCGCCGCCAGAATGAGGACGACGAAGCGCGCAACGACGAACCCGGCAAAGACGACATCGGTCAGATAGGCCTGAACGGCGAAGATCGCGGCCAGAATCCACAAGGCGGGGCGAACGGACACGAAGGCATGTCGGGGCTTCAGCCCGGCGACCGCGAAGCCCGTCACAACCAGCGCGCCCGCCACCAGCACGGAGGCCCAGCCCTCGACGATGAAGAGCGTGCTGCAGAACACCACGAGCGCTGTGATCTTGACGACCGGCCGGGTCCGGTGGAGCGGGCTGTCGCCGAACACGTAAAGGTCGGTCAGCATTGCGAGCCTGCCACATAGCGGGCCAGCACGGGTCCGGGCCTGCCGTCGCCCGCGATCGAACCGTCTTCGATGTGAAGGACACGGTCGAAATGCCTGAGCAGATCGAGATCGTGCGACACGACGACGACGGGCTCGTCCAACGCGTCGATGGCCGCCATGAATTTCCGCTTGTTCCACAGGTCGAGCAGCGTGGTCGGCTCGTCCAGAACGATCATCGTCGGCCGCATTACCAGAACGCCGGCCAGCGCGACCATCTGCTTTTCGCCGCCGCTGAGCTGGTGCGTGAAGCGGTCGCGCAGATGGGCGAGATCGAACCGGGCCAGCACCTCGTCGATCCTGGCCTGCGTTTCGTCCCGCGGCAGTTTGAGGTTCTTGAGCCCGAATGCCAGATCCTCTGACACGATCGGGTAGACGATCTGGTTGTCCGGGTTCTGGAACACGAAACCCACATGCCGCCTGAGCGCCTTGCGTTCGGTGACGCCGTTGAGCGTCACCGTCCCCGCGCTGGGCGCTTCGATGCCGTTGAACAGCCGCGCAAACGTGCTCTTGCCCGAGCCGTTCCGGCCGATGACGCCGATGCGCCGTTCCGAAAGACGAACGGTGATGTCTTTCAGAATGGGGACGCCGTTCTTTTCCACCGAGACGTCGGCAAACTCGATCACGACGGAACGGGCGGGCGTTACATTCCCGTCTGGGGCATGGCCGGCGATTTCGGCGTGATGATCGGGTAGGAGCGCTTGACGATGACCATGACGCCGGCTGCGATCAGACATTTGATGATATCCCCGGGGATGAAGGGCAGCGAGCCTGCAAGGGCCGTTCCGATCGGGATTTCGGCAACGAACGCGCTCCACGGAACACCGATCGCATAGAGCAGCACCACGCCGCCCGCGAAGCATATGCCCGCCGCAACCAGGTAGTTGAGGCGATGCCAAAGCCGTTCCGTCATGTATCCGATCGCATAGGCCGCGACGATCCAGCCGACAAGGAAACCGCCGCTCGGCCCCAGAAACACGCCGAAGCCGCCCCGGCCGCCCGCCAGAAGCGGCAGGCCTATCGCAACAAGAACGAGAAACAGGACGACCGCCAGCCCGCCGCGGACGGCGCCGAGAACGCCGCCGGCCAGCATCACGCCGAGCGACTGCGCGGTGATCGGAACGCCGACCAGGGGAAGCGTGATCGGCGGAAAGACCGCCAGGGCCGCCACGATGGCCGCAAACAGGGCGATGAAGACGACGTTACGGGTTTCCATGGGCGGCCCTCAACTGGGTTGGCGGGGTGGGCGCGCGCCGGATCATCCGGCGGTCGCGGTCGGCGAAATAGGAGCAATCGGCAAGGCGGGCGCCGTCGGGCGCGCCGATCTCGATATGCGAGCGGGTGAAGGCCTTGTAGCCGTATTTCTCGGCCGGATATTCCAGGTTCATGGCCCGCTGCAGGTCGTAATGGGAGTCGATGTCGACGAACCGCATGACGAAGGCGGCGCGCCGCGGCAACGCGCCTTGGCCGAGCATGACGCTGCGATGGACGACATATTTGTTGAACAACAGAACGTCGCCCGGCGCGAAATCGTCCTCCACCTGATGGAAGGCCAGAATATCCATCATGGTCGGTGAATTCAGGATGCCCGACCGCATGGCGAAATAGTCGTCCATGCTCGTCTTGATGCCGGCCCGTTCCTTGGCTTCCAGGGTCGAGATGATCGCCGGCTCGATCTGGTCGTAAATGAAACGGCCGGAGACGACATGTTCGGGCACATAGGCCATGCCGCCGCGCTGGCCTTTCGTGTCGATCGGATGGAGCGGCGCCCAGATGGTGCACCCGAATTCCTCGGCGACCTGATAGCCGAAGCTCTGCACGCCGACATGCCAGGGAAAACCCTTGCTGACGTTCTTTTCCAGTTCGAAACACAATTCGAAAGTCAGGAACAGATCGCGATCGACCAGTGATGTCAGTGCCTGTTGGAAGTAGGGGCGTTCGAGGAGCTCGTAGACATCGGTCTTCTCGCTTTCGAAATCATATTTGAGCCGGCTGAACTCGCTTTTGAAATTGTCCGGCGCCCGGCTCATCTCGACGTCGACGCGGTCGAGCAGCGTCGCCACCGCGTCCGCATTGAGGAAACCGTCGAGTTTGACAAATCCATCCCGCCGGAACTGGTCGATCTGCTCCGGCGTAACATGAAATCCGTTGTCAAAAGGGTGTATGCCCATGGCCGGCTCCTTTGGTGATGGAGCGACTATAAGCATCTCGATTTGTATACGCTATCACAAGTTGTATTTTTATTTCCATTTATTGTTCTAATATTGCCTTGACAGGCCTTTTCCAAATTCAAGCGGTCGGTTGTGGCGCCGCGCGCCGGCATCGCCGCCGGCGGCCGCATCCACCCCGCACCGGTCGTCGGGGCACGAAGGTGTCAAGGCCTTTTCCGGGGCGGGAATGTCCCGCGGGGTGCCGGACAGGGACGCAGACGCACGCCGCCGGTCCCGAAGGCGGATCCCGGGCGGCGAAAAAACACGCGAGCCGACACGAGCCCGCCAGTGCATTGCATCGACCGGATGCTGCCGCGGCCGACATGCCCGGCAAAACGCTGCGAAGGGTTCAAATGATGGCGCACCCGGGAAGATTCGAACTCCCGACCCCCAGATTCGTAGTCTGGTGCTCTATCCAGCTGAGCTACGGGTGCATAGCGCGGCGGGCCAATGGCCCCGGCAAGGCGGCTTGGTAGTCGCAAGCGTCTCAAAATGCAAGCGCATACCGATCGTTTTTTGCCGCCGCGCCGATGCGTGCGCGGCACCTCTTTGCGGCGGGCGAAGCACTGGGAGATGCAGCGGCAACCGCATAAAACGGGACGCCCGCTGCCGGCCGGCCAAGGGCATCAGACGGCACGCGCAAGCGGCGCCGGATGGCGAGGTCACACTCTTTGCCCGACCCGATCAGGAAGGCCCCGGTCAGCGCCGGCTGGCGGTTGCTTCGCCCGGCCCGGTCGCCTTTACGCCCGAGCCGACTTGCCGCGCATGCCCCGACAGGCTGACCGGCGCGTCGGGCAGCCGGATCTCGAAATGCGTGCCGACGGCCCGGTCGTCGCGCAACTCCAGCGTGCCGCCGTGCGCCGTGACCAGTTCGTGGGCGATGGCAAGACCGAGGCCGGTGCCGCCCTGCCGCGCCGCGCCGGAAAACGGCGAAAACAGATGCTCGCGCGCCTTGGCCGGAAGCCCCGGGCCGGTGTCCTCGATCGAAATGATGGTCGTCGTGCCCATGCGGACCGCCGACACCGAGACCCGCTTGACGGTGGCCGGATCGTCGTCGCCGCGCATCGCCTGCACCGCATTGCGGCAAAGGTTCATGGTGACGCGAAACAGCTGCTCGGGGTCGGCGTCGATTTCCAGATCGTCGGGAATGTTGGCCGAAAACTGGACCTGATCGCCCGGTTCCAGGCCAAGCAACTCCTCGACATCGCCGATCACGCGCGACAGGCGCACGCGCCGCCGCACCGGGTCTTTCTCCTGCGCCTTGCCGTATGAGACCACATCGGAGGTATAGGCCGCCGCCCGGTCGATCGCGCGCACGAGTTTCGGCGCAAACCGTTGCACCGTCGGGTCCTTGGTTTCGGCGAGCCGGTCGCTGATCAGCTGCGCCGAGGCGAGGATGTTGCGCATGTCGTGATTGATCTTGGAGACCGCCAAGCCAAGATCCGCCAGCCGCTTCTGGCTGCGCAGCGTCGATTGAAGCTGGCTCTGCATTCCGGCCAGTTCCCGTTCGGCCAGGCCCAGTTCGTCCGAGCGGTTTTCCGGTTCGATCACCGCCCCGGGATCGGACGGATCGGCGGCGAAGCGCAGCATCGAGGCGGTCATCTTCTCGATCGGCCGGATCATGATCCGGTTGATGGCCAGAAAGACCAGTGTGGCGGTGATCAGCGAGATCAGCAGCGACAGGATCGCCACATTGCGCGCATAGGTCAGCATCGCCGCGCGCAGATAATCGTCCGGCATCACCATCTCGATCCGCCCGCCGCTTTCGCCGACCGGCCCGGTCACGCGCAATGTCTGGTCGCCGCCGAACAGCAGCGTCGCAAACGCATCGCGGATCGCCTCGGCCGGCGTGAACGCGACGACATCGACATGCTGGTCGATCGCCTCGGGCATGCCCGAGACGACGAGCAGCCGCGACTGGTCGTCCATTCTCAGCGCGATCGTCTGCGCGCCAATCGCCATCAGCACGTCGTCCTGAACCTCTTGCGGGAGTTCGGTCGCCGTGTCGGCGGTGATCAGCACGCTGGCCGCAGCCGCCGTGTTCAGCCGTTGCTCGAGCCAGGTGATCCGGAAATTGGCGACCGAGGGCACGAAGATCAGAACTTCGGCGATCAGCACGAACAGGATGGTCAGCCACAACAGCTTGGCCGACAGCCGTCGGCGCGGACGCGCGCCGGGCCGGGGGGTGTTTTCCGTGTTCTCGCCGCTCTCGCTCATGGCACCCAAGATAGAGCGCTGTTCGGCGCTTCGCCAACGATTGGCGCTCTTATGGTTAGGCCGCTCACCCAAAACGCCTCAGAAAGCCGATGATCCGGCGCACCATCGGCTTGCGGGTCATCGGCGCGGCGAAGCTGGTCGCCGCGCGTTTGGTGATCTCGGTCATTGTCGGATAGGGCGCGATGAAACCGCGCAGATCGCCCGCCTTCATCTTCTTCGACAGTGCCAGCGCGAAGATGTTGATCATCTCGCCGGCATTGGCGCCGGCGATCGACGCGCCAAGAATGCGGCCCTTCTTGTCGGTGATCATCTTGACCAGCCCGTCGGTCTTGCGCTCGGCCTGGGCGCGGTCGTTTTCGGCATAGGGCCAGCGCAGAATTGTGATGTCGCCGGCTTTCTGGTGTGCCTGCTCCTCGGTCAGCCCCACATGGGCCAGTTCGGGATCGGTGTAGGTCGCCCAGGGGATCATGTCGTTGTTCGGCTTGCCGGGCACACGGAACAGGATCGATTGTATGACCAGTCCGGCATGATATCCGGCGACATGGGTGAATTGCAGGCCGCCGGCCACATCGCCAATCGCGTAGACGCGCCGGTTGGTCGTGCGCAGCGCGTTGCTCACCGTAATGCCCCTGCGGTCATGGGCGATGCCGGCAGCATCGAGACCGAGATTTTCCGTGTTGGGCGTCCGGCCGGTGGCGACCAGAATGTGCGTGCCGTCGACATGCGATTGTTCGCCGTCATGCTCGACGGTGACGCGGACGCCGTTCTTGCCGCGCTTTTCGACCGCAACGACTTTGGTTCCCTCAAGAATGTCGACGCCTTCGCCGCGAATGCGGTCGAGCACGATGGACGCCAGTTCCGGATCGTCCTTGCCGAGCGCCTTCATCGCCTCGATCACCGTGACCTCCGAGCCGAGACGCCGGTGCGCCTGGGCCATCTCCATGCCGATCGGCCCGCCGCCGACGACGATCAGGTGACCGGGCTTGCGGGTCTGCTCGAACAGCGTCTCGTTGGTCAGATAGTCGACCTGGTCGAGGCCGGGAATCGGCGGCACGAAGGCGCGGCTGCCGGTGGCGACGACGAAGCGCCGCGCCTTGATTGTGTGGCCGCCGGCTTCCACGGTGCGCGCATCGGTGAACGTGCCGTGGGCTTCGATCACCCGAACGCCGAGCGCGGTGAACCGCTCGACGGAATCGTTGGGCGCGATCGCGCCGATCACGTCATGGACATGATCGTGCACGCGCCGGAAATTGACCTCGGGCTCCACGGCCTTGATGCCGAACTTTTCGGCGTGGCGCATAGAGTGGGCGGTCTTGGCCGCCGCGATCATCGCCTTGGAGGGCACACAGCCATAGTTCAGGCAGTCGCCGCCCATCTTGCCGCCCTCGATCAGGACGACCGAAACGCCGAAGGCCGCTGCCGCTGCCGCAACCGTCAGTCCGCCCGAGCCGGCGCCGATGACGCAGATGTCCGGTGTCAGAACGTCGCTCATGAAAATGGTGTCCCCTGATCATATGGTGCGGCCGGCTTGGCGGCATGTGGCAGTGAGGGTGGCGTCCTTATGCGCCGGACGGCGTCTTGCGGCTTCGCCATTTCTTGATGACGACCGGAATGGCCGCAACGATGGCGAGCGCCGCAAAGGCCAGCGTGATTTCGGTGGTGATCAGATCGCCGACAGAGGCGCTTGTTCCTGCCGCCTCAGCCGCGTCCAGGACCGAGCCGATGCCCTGGCCCAGATAGCTGTAGGCGATGACACCGGGCAGGATGCCCAGAAACGTGGCGATCACATAGGTGCGCAGCGGCACGTTGAAGAGCGCCGGTGCGATATTCATGATGAAGAACGGAAAGACCGGCGCGATCCGCAGCACCAGAAGATAGCTGAACGCATCCTTTTCGAATCCGTCGGCGAGGTTTTTGACCCGTCCGCCGACCCTGCTGCGCAGTCCGTCGCCGAACGCCGATCTGGCGGCGAGGAAGATCGCGCTCGCGCCGGTCGTCGCTCCGATCGCGACGATCACCGACCCGGTCAGCCATCCGAACAGGAAGCCCGAAAAGATCGTCAGGATCGATGCGGCGGGAAACGAAAAGGCGACGGCGATTGCGTAGAGCGCGGTGAAGCCGATCGTCGACAGCCAGTAGTTGGACGCAACGAAGCTTGTCAGGCTCTCGCGGCTTTCGGCGAGGAAATCGAGGGTGAAGAAGCGCTGCCAACCCATCAGGTAGGCAAAGCCCAGCCCGGCCACGACAATGGCCAGCGGCAAAAAGCGCTTTGCGGTCGGCCAGAGCGAGCCGCGTGCGGGCGTGTCGGCGTTCTTGGCCATGCTGGCTTGCGATGTATCAGTCATTGTGAGCGTGTCCAACGGGTTTGAGGGCGGCCGGGCGGCGCGGTTGATCCCGAAATGCCCATCGGCCCGCTCAACAACAACTCACAACGGGGTGACACGACAATCCGTGATCCGCCCGGTGCGGCACTTCACGGTGCCGTGACCGGTCCGTGTGTGGCGTCGCAACCAAGATGGCCCGCCGTGCCCAATCCGATTGACTTTGGATGGCCGTTCGCACATAAGCCCGTCAACGTTCGGGCATCGGTGCCCGGCGACGCGTTTGTGTTGCCGCGCCCCTGCCCAAAGGGCCCTTGAAGAGATGAATGAGAAGGCCGCGACACGCGGCGTGTGATCCCATGACCAAACGCACCTATCAGCCCTCCCGCCTGGTTCGCAAACGTCGCCACGGATTCCGTGCCCGCATGGCGACGGCCGGCGGCCGCAAGGTTCTGGCGCGCCGGCGCGCCAAGGGCCGCAAGAAGCTGTCGGCCTGATCGCGGGACGGCGCGCCGCAACGCGACGCGCCATCGGGCCCCGATGCCGGCGAGCGGAACGCCCGGACCCTATGAGATCATGCGCAAGCGCGCCGACTTCCTCGCTGCCCGGCAGGGCGTGCGGCTGGCGGGCGACACCGTCCGGCTGGAAATGCGGCGGCGCGGGCCGGCCGAAAACGGCGACGGTCCGCGCGTCGGCTTCACGGTGACCAAGCGCATCGGCAACGCCGTTACCCGCAATCGGGCAAAAAGGCGCCTGCGCGAGGCGGTGCGGCTGGTTGCCGCCCGTGACATGCGGCCGCGACATGACTATGTGATCATTTCCAAGCCCGATGTGTTGACTGCGCGGTTCAGCACATTATGCGAGGATTTGCGCCGGACGCTTGCGCGCGGACACAAGCGCATCGGCGACGCCGCAAACGGCAACTGACGGAACGCACGGGGCCGAAAAGGCCGGACACGGAGCCATGGACACCAACAACCGCAATCTGTTCCTGACCATCGGCCTGTCGGTCCTGATCCTGACCCTGTGGCAGATATTCTACGTCAACCCGCAGATCGAGGCCGAGCGTCAGGCGCAGCTCGAACAGCAGGCGGTCGAACAGCAGGTCCAGCCCGGCACCGAGTCAGCCGGCGCGGGCACGCCGCAGACGCAGGGCGCGACCGCATCGGGCGAGATCCCGCAGGCGACGGTGTCGGGCAGCGCACCCGGGATGGCGGGCGAAGCGGCCGGCGCGGCCGGCGATCGCGCCTCGGCGCTGTCGACCACCGATCGCATTCCCGTCGACACGCCGACCCTGTCCGGCTCGATCAATCTGACCGGCGCACGTTTCGACGATCTGTCGCTGAAGAATTACCATGTCACGGTCGACGAAACCTCGCCGATCGTCGATCTCCTGTCGCCGGTCACCGGGCCCGACGCCTATTTCGCCGAGTTCGGCTATACCGGCGTCGAGGGTGCGCCGGGTCCCGACGCCGTCTGGCAGGTCGAGGGCAATGCCGTCCTGACCCCGTCCACCCCCGTCACGCTGACCTATTCGGCCGAAAACGGACTGACCTTCAGCCGCCAGATCGCGGTCGACGATAGCTACATGTTCACGATCACCGACGAAATCGCCAACGGCGGCGCCGGTGCAGTCGCTGTGCAGAATTATGGCCGCACCACCCGCTACACCAAACCGGCCCTGCCGCCGATCTTCATCCTGCATGAGGGCATGATCGGCGTCACTGGCGAGGAAGGGCTGACCGAGCACACCTTCAACGAGATCGAGGACGAGGGCCAGGTTGCACCCGGCAAGTCGACCGACGGCTGGCTCGGCATCACCGACAAATACTGGGCGACGGCGCTGATCCCCGAGCAGGGCAGCAGCTTCCAGCCGCGCTACTCCTATTTCACCGACGGCACGCCGCGTTATCAGGCCGACTTCCTGGGTGACGCGGTCACGATCAACGCCGGCCAGTCGGCGACCGTCACCAACATGCTGTTCGCCGGCGCCAAGAAGACCAAGATCATCGACGCCTACGAGGCGGAACGGGAAATCCGTCAGTTCGAGCTGATGATCGACTGGGGCTGGTTTCATTTCATCACCAAGCCGCTGTTCCACCTGCTCTACTGGCTCAACAGCGCGATCGGAAATTTCGGCCTCGCCATCCTTGTCACGACGGTCATCATCAAGGCCTTCTTCTTCCCGCTTGCCAACAAGTCCTATGCCTCCATGGCCCGCATGAAAGTGGTCCAGCCCAAGATGGCGGAGATCAAGGAACGCTACGGCGACGACCGCGAGAAGATGCAGAAGGCGATGATGGAGCTCTACAAGAAGGAGAAGATCAATCCGATCGCCGGCTGCTGGCCCGTCCTGATCCAGATCCCGGTCTTCTTTGCGCTCTATAAGGTGCTGTACGTCACCATCGAGATGCGCCATGCGCCCTTCTTCGGCTGGGTGCAGGACCTGTCGGCGCCCGATCCGACCTCGATCTTCAACCTGTTCGGCCTTCTGCCGTTCGACCCGTCCACCGTGCCGCTGTTCGGCCCGTTCCTGATGCTCGGCGTCTGGCCGCTGCTGATGGGCATCACCATGTTCATGCAGATGCAGATGAACCCGCCGCCGCCCGATCCGACCACGGCGATGGTGTTCAAATGGATGCCGATCCTGTTCACCTTCATGCTGGCGACGTTTCCGGCGGGTCTGGTGATCTACTGGGCGTGGAACAACTTCCTGTCGATCATCCAGCAGGGCGTGATCATGAAGCGCAACGGCGCCAAGATCGAATTGTGGGACAATCTCAAGAGCATGTTCGGCGGCGGCAAGGCCAACAAACCCGCCGAATAGCCGATTGCGCGGCCCGCAAGGGGAGAAGGGTCCGATGACCAGCTGAGCACCGATCCGCCGTTTGCAACGGATGGATCGACGACACCATCCCGACCACTCACTTTCGGAGCTCAGCCATGCACGGGCCTCATCCGACCACCGCCTATCCGCTTGCCGGGTACGCGCATGCGGTCTTTCTCAACAATTTCATCACCCGCCCAAACATCGAAGTGGGCGACTATACCTACTATGACGATGCGAGCGGCGCCGAGCGCTTCGAGGAGCGCAACGTCGTCCATCATTACGAATTTCTGGGCGACCGGCTGGTGATCGGCCGCTTCTGCGCGCTGGCTGCTGGCACGACCTTCTTCATGAACGGCGGCAACCACGCCATGGACGGCTTTTCCACCTATCCGTTCAACATATTCGGCAATGGCTGGGAGGAGGGTTTCGACCCGCAGACGTGGGTCGATGCGAGCCGCGGCGACACGATCGTCGGCAACGATGTCTGGATCGGCAATGGGGCGCTCGTCATGCCCGGCGTCACCATCGGCGACGGCGCCATCGTCGCGGCGCGCTCGGTCGTCGCCTCCCACGTGCCCGCCTATGCGGTCGTGGCCGGCAATCCGGCGCGCATCGTCAGGATGCGGTTCGACGACCGGACCATCGCGCGGCTGTTGGACATCGCCTGGTGGAACTGGCCGGCCGAGACGATCACCGCGCATCTGGACGCCATTCGCGGCAACGATCTTGCCGCGCTCGAAGCGATCGAGGATAAGCGGCCATGACCGACGCGGCCGACCTCACCATCGACACGTCCTCGCCCGTCTGGGCGGCGCTCAAGGCGAGGGGCGCATGGACGTTCGTGCGCGGCGTGCCCGCCATGGAGCATTTGCCGCCCGAAGGCCCGCCCGAGATCGCCTTCGCCGGACGGTCCAATGTGGGCAAATCTTCTCTGATCAACGCGCTGACCGGCAAGAACGGGCTCGCGCGCACCTCCAACACGCCCGGCCGCACGCAGGAGCTGAACTTTTTCGTCCCTGAGGGTTTTTCCGGCACGCTCGACGATCTGCCGCCGCTCGCCATCGTCGACATGCCCGGCTACGGCTACGCCAAGGCGCCGAAGGAAACCGTCGACCGCTGGACCGATCTGGTGTTCGACTATCTGCGCGGGCGGACCACGCTCAAGCGCGTCTTCGTGCTGATCGACGCGCGTCACGGCATCAAGACAAACGATGAAGAGGTGTTCGACCTGTTCGACCGGGCCGCCATTTCCTACCAGCTCGTGCTGACCAAGATCGACAAGATCAAGCCGCCCGCGGTCGCCCGTCTGACCGCCGAGACCGAACAGCGCATCCGGCGCCGGCCGGCCGCGTTCCCGGGCGTGATCGCGACGTCGTCCGACAAGGCGCTGGGTCTGGACGATCTGCGCCGCGCCATCGCCTATGCCGTTGCTTCGTGACGGAAAACGGGCCGCGCCCGGTTAACCGTAGCGCGCGGTTCCCGGCGATTTCGGCGTCCGTTTGCGCTACAGGACGGCCGATGACGGCAAGTGCGGCGCGACGATATCCCGACTACGGCACATTCGCGGTATGGCGGCTTTTGGCCGCCATGCTGGTGATGGGCTATCACTTCTCGTTCTCGGCGCCCCATGACGATGCGCTGACCACCTGGTTCGAGCACATGAACCCGCTGCTCGACATGTTCTTCGTCCTGTCCGGCTTCCTGATCTATGAGCGCTATCATGATCGCGTTTTGACTCGCGGCGCCTACGGCCGCTTCGTCCTGCGGCGCCTTTCGCGGCTCTACCCGCTGCATCTGGCAACGCTGGGCTTCTTCGTCGCCGTCGGCATGGCCGCCCATGCCGGGCTGATCGAGGCGGGCGGCATCGACAGCCGCTACGACATGAGCCAGCTTTTGACCAACCTGTTCCTGCTGCAGGCATGGGGCGTGCACGACACGCTGACCTTCAACTATGTGTCCTGGTCGCTGTCGGGCGAATGGTTCGCCTATCTGATGCTGCCGGTGCTGGCATTTGCGGGTCTGCGCATGGGCCTTGCCGGTCTGGTCGCCGTGCTCGCCCTCACGCTCGCCGGGCTCGAATGGGCAAGCCGCGACGCCACCGACTATTCCCAGACCTGGTATGATGCCAAAAGCTGGGGCGCCGGGCGCATCTTCGCCGATTTCACCTTCGGCGCGATCCTGTTCCGCATCGTCGGACGCCTCCCGGCCCGGTTGGGTTCGCGTCCGGCCGGCTGGATGTTTCTCGGCCTGTCTATCGTCACCATGTTCGCCGGCATGGGCACCTATGTGGCGCTGGCGCTGATCGGCTGCGCCATCGTCTGCGTTGCGCTGGTCGAGCGCCAGCCGGACAGCGCCAGCTCCCTCCTGACGGGGCTCGCGCCGGTCACCATTCTCTCCTACGGCATCTACATGTGGCATCCGGTCATGGAGACGGTGTTCTTCTCGGGCGTGTGGAAGCTGGCGTTCGGCGCTCCCGAGACGAGTTTGTTCTACCTGTTCGCAGCGGTGCCGGTCGTCGCCACCTTCGTCGTGGCCGCCCTGTCGCTGCGCTTTTTCGAAACGCCGGCCGCCCGCGCGATCATGGCGCTGGGCGACAGGCAGCGGAAAGCAGTGCAGCCGGCGCGCGCCTGAAACGGAATTGCGGCAACGGCTGGAATTTTCCCGCGGCACCGACTATCTGCTGTGCACGAGAGGGCGCGTCCGCCATGCGGACGCCTGCACAGCCGCGCGCAGATGTGAACTGGACCAAGATGAAGGCCGATTTCTACGAGACATTGGGCGTATCGCGCGATGCCGACGAAAAGGCGCTCAAAAGCGCCTACCGGAAGCTGGCGATGAAATATCATCCCGACCGCAATCCCGGCGACAGCGCAGCCGAGGTCAAATTCAAGGAAGCCAACGAAGCCTACGAGACGCTCAAGGACCCGCAGAAGCGCGCCGCCTATGACCGGTTCGGCCATGCCGCGTTCGAAAACGGCGGAATGGGCGGCGCAGGCGGCTTCGGCGGTGCCGGCGCCGGCGGCTTTGCCGACATATTCGAGGACATTTTCGGGGAGATGATGGGCGGCGGGCGCGCCCGGCGCGGTCCGGGCGGCCGCGAGCGCGGCGCCGATCTGCGCTACAATCTCGAAATCACGCTGGAGGAGGCCTTTGCCGGCAAGACCGCGCAGATCCGCGTGCCGACTTCGGCCACCTGCGAGACCTGTTCGGGATCGGGCGCCAAGCCGGGCACCAGTCCGGCGACGTGCACGACCTGCAACGGCGCCGGCCGGGTCCGCGCCGCGCAAGGGTTCTTTTCCGTCGAGCGCACATGTCCGGCCTGCAATGGCCGCGGCGAAATCATCACCGATCCGTGCGAGACCTGCTCGGGCCACGGGCGCGTCACCCAGGAACGCTCGCTTTCGGTCAACATTCCCGCCGGCATCGAGGACGGCACGCGCATTCGCCTCGCCGGCGAAGGCGAAGCCGGCTTCCGCGGCGGCCCTGCCGGCGACCTCTACATCTTCATCTCGGTGCGGCCGCACGAATTCTTCCAGCGCGACGGTGCCGACCTTTACTGCAAGGTGCCCATTTCGATGACCACGGCTGCGCTCGGCGGCCAGTTTGAAGTGGGCACGCTCGATGGCTCGCAAACCCGCGTGAAGGTGCCCGAGGGCACCCAGTCGGGCCGCCAGTTCCGGTTGAAGGGCAAGGGCATGCCGGTGATGCGGCAGGCCCAGATGGGCGATCTCTACATCCAGATCGCCGTCGAGACGCCGCAGAACCTGTCAAAGCGCCAGCGCGAACTGCTCACCGAGTTCGAGGACATTTCGGCCAAGGAGAACAGCCCCCAGTCGAGCGGCTTCTTCACCCGCATGAAGGACTTTTTCGACCTTGGAGACTGATCCCCACTTCGCATCCCGCCGCGATGGCGACGATGACGTCGACGCCGCCGATCGGTCCCGGCGCAAGCGCAGCGAACTGTCTGACCGGCTGAAATTTCTCGCCGCCATGTTCCGGTCGCCGCGCCGGGTTTCGTCGGTTACGCCGACATCGCGCCAGACCGCGGTCGAAATGGCCCGCCCCATCGATTGCCGATCCGGCCTTCCGGTCCTCGAGCTCGGTCCGGGCACCGGACCCGTCACGCGCGCGATACTGGATCGTGGCGTCGCCCCTGGCGATCTTTACGCGATCGAGCAATCGGCCGACTTGTGCCGGCATCTGGAGAAGGCCTTTCCGGGCGTCAATGTCATCCACGGCGATGCCTTCGATCTCGACACGACGCTCGCCGCTACGGGCGTGTCGCTGTTCGATTGCGTGATTTCCGGCATTCCCCTGCTCAGCTTCGGCCCGGAGCGCAGCGACGCGCTGCTGATGAGCGCGATCGGACGCGTGCCGCCCGGCCGCCCGATGGTGCAGATCACCTATTCGGCCAAGGCGCCGCTGCAGCCGAGCGATCCGCGCGTGCGCATGCACCGCAGCGCCAGGGTCGTCAGGAACCTGCCGCCGGCCAGTGTTTGGCTTTATTCGCGCCCGGATTGATCGCCGGCCCCGATTGCGGTCTATTGCACTGCACCGTCCCACCGTCTTTCACCGCCTCGAAGGATCGCAATGCCCGCCAAAGTCCTCCTGCTTGCCGGATCGGTGCGATCCGGCTCGTTCAACGTGTCGCTCGCCCAGGCCGCCAACAAGGTGCTGGCCGAGATGGGCGCCGAGACGACGATGATCTCGCTGGGCGATTATCCGTTGCCGCTGGTTGATGAGGATCTGAAGAGCGAAAAGGGCGTGCCGGAAAACGCCGTCCGGCTGGCACGCCTGTTTGCGGCCCATGACGGACTGTTCATCGCCTCGCCCGAATACAATTCCTCGATCCCGCCCCTTTTGAAGAACGCGATCGACTGGGTCAGTCTCGCGCCGAAGGACATCAAGGCCTATGCGGGCCTGACCGTGGCGCTGGGCGCCGCATCCAACGGTGCGCTCGGCGGCATTCGCGGGCTTTATCACCTCCGCTCGGTGCTGATGAATGTCGGCGCGCAGATCGTCACCGAACAGGCCGGTATCAGCCGCGCCGCAACCGCCTTTGGCGAGGACGGGCTGCCGGCCGACGAGCGCCAGCTCAAAATGCTGCAAAACACCTGCCGGTCGCTTCTGGAAAACCTGACCGAGGGCAGGGCACGGTCATGATCGCGGCGGTGCGTGATCGCCTGATCGTCGGGCTCGATCTGCCGGCCGTTGCCGATGCCGAGGCCATGGTCGACACGCTCGGGGACACCGTCTCCTTCTACAAGATCGGCTACCGGCTCGTCTTTGCGGGCGGGCTCGATCTGGCACGCCGCCTGAAGGCGGCGGGCAAGTCCGTGTTCCTCGACATGAAGCTGCTCGACATCGACAACACGGTCGCGCAGGGCGTCCAGAGCGTGGCGGCGATGGGCGTCGATATGCTGACCGTCCATGCCTACCCCAAGGCGATGGCCGCCGCCGCCGCAGCGGCGCAGGGCAGCCATCTGACGCTGCTCGCCGTTACCGTCCTGACCTCGATGGACGATCACGACCTGTCCGATGCCGGCTATCATGACAATGCCGCCGGTCTCGTCCTGAAGCGGGCGCGCCAGGCGCGCGACGCGGGCATGGGCGGCATCGTCTGTTCGGCGGCTGAGGCGGAACCGGTGCGCGATGTGGTCGGACCGGGCATGGCGATCGTCACGCCCGGCATCCGGCCCGCCGGCAGCGCGGCAGGCGACCAGAAGCGCGTCGTCACACCGGCCCAAGCGATGGCCGCCGGCGCGACCCACCTGGTCGTGGCCCGGCCGATCATCGCCGCGCCCGACCCCGCCGGGGCGGCCGCCGCGATCCTCGACGAGATGGCCGCGGCCGCGGAAGGCTAGGTGGTCTGAACAGATCCAGAGCGGGCTTGCTTTGGGCCGCCTGACCGAATTTGCTGGCCGTTGCGCAACAGTGGCGTCATCAGGGGAGACCAACCATGCCGAAGGGATATTGGATCGCGCGGATCACCGTGCACGACCCCGAACGCTACAAGGACTATGTGTCGGCGGCCGCGCCCGCCTATCAGGAGCATGGCGCGAAATTCCTGGTGCGCGGCGGCGCGATTGGGGCGTCCGAAGGCGCCAGCCGGCAACGCAACGTCGTCATCGAATTCCCCACCTATGAGGCGGCGCTCGCCTGCTACAATTCGGACACCTATGCCAGGGCGCGGGCCATCCGGCAGGAGATTTCCGAGGGCGAAGTCATCGTCGTCGAGGGCCACGACGCCTGATGGCGCCCGCGCCGGCGGCCCGCCGCCACCTTTCGTTAACCGAAGTTAACGCCGCATTAACACATGCGCCGCCTAATGGCCCGATGGTGCGTGAAATGCAGGGGATTGGGCACTACCTAGACGTTAGCACGATTTCGCAACCGCGAAGCCGGTGCTAGCGTGCAATCGATTTAATGTTGCCATGCACAAGAAGCGGCCTGCATAAAGACCCTATGAGAAGCCGCCGCACGGCCCATGAGGAGAGGACGACAGGTGTTCTATCATTTGTATGAACTGAATCATGCCGTGATGCAGCCATGGCGCGCCGCCGCCGACGCGACCCGGCTGTTCTACCAGAACCCGCTCAACCCGGTTTCCCGCACGCGCTACGGCCGCACCGTCGCCGCCTGGGCCGAGGTTTTCGAGCGCACCACGCGCCGCTACGGCAAGCCGGCCTTCGATCTCGACGAGACCGTGATCGACGCCAAGCAGGTGCCGGTGGTGGAAAACACCGTCTGGTCCAAGCCGTTCTGCAATCTGGTGCATTTCCAGCGCGATCTCGCCAAGCCGCGCCCGTCCGACCCGCGCGTTCTGCTGGTCGCGCCCATGTCGGGGCACTATGCGACGCTGCTGCGCGGCACGGTCGAACGCTTCCTGCCGGAAGCCGAGGTCTACATCACCGACTGGGTCGATGCGCGCCACGTGCCCATGTCCGAGGGCCATTTCGATCTGGACGACTATATCGACTATCTGATCGAGATGCTGAACCATCTTGGCCCCGACACGCACATTGTCGGCGTTTGCCAGCCATCGGTTCCGGTGCTGTCGGCGGTCTCGGTGATGGAGCAGCATGGCAGCCCCAATTCGCCGACCTCGATGACGCTGATGGGCGGTCCGATCGACACGCGCTGCAATCCTACCGCCGTCAACCAGCTGGCCGAGGAAAAGGACCTCGACTGGTTCCGCGACAATGTCATCATGCATGTGCCGTTTCCCAATCCGGGATTCGGCCGGCCCGTCTATCCGGGCTTTCTGCAGCTGACCGGCTTCATGTCGATGAACATGGACCGGCACATGATCGCGCAGAAGGACTTCTTCATGCATCTGGTGCGCGACGATGGCGATTCGGCCGAAAAGCACCGCGAGTTCTACGACGAGTATCTCGCCGTCATGGACCTGACGGCGGAATTCTATCTCCAGACCGTCGAGACCGTCTTCATCGAGCATGCACTGCCCAAGGGCACGATGACCCATCGCGGCGAGCCCGTCGATCCGGGCGCCATCAGCCGCGTGGCGCTGTTCACCGTCGAAGGCGAGAATGACGACATCACCGGACGCGGCCAGACCAGGGCCGCACATGCGTTGTGCACCGGCCTGCCGGAAAACATGAAGGTTCATTACGAGCAGCCGCGCGTCGGCCATTACGGCGTCTTCAACGGCTCGCGCTTCCGCACCGAGGTCGCCCCGCGCATGCTGAACTTCATGCGCGCCCAGTCCAACGTCAAACGCCGCGGCAAGATCAGAGCCGTCGCCTGATCGCGCGTTTCGTCTGACTGTTCATGAGCGCATCCGTCGCGATCCGTCAGGGCGCGCCCGACGACAGCGACGGCATCGAGGCGCTCTATCCCGATGCCTTTCCGGACGAGGATCTGCTGCCGGTGGTTCGCAAGCTGCTGGACATGCCGTCCGGCGTCCTGTCGCTGGTGGCGGTGGAGGACGGCGTGCTCGTCGGACATGTCATCTTCACCGATTGCGGCCTCAGCGATGCCGATGCGCGCCTTGCGCTCCTCGGTCCGCTCGGCGTCGCATCCGCACGGCAGGGGCAGGGGATCGGCAGCGCGCTCGTCCGCGATGGCCGCGAAAGGCTGAGACAGGCCGGCATCACCCATGTCTTCGTCCTGGGCGATCCCGCCTATTACGCCCGCTTCGGCTTTGCCCCCGAGACCGGCGTCGCAACGCCGTTCGAACTGCCTGTCTCATGGCGGGACGCATGGCAGTCGCTCGCCCTTGCCGCCGCCGCCAGGCCGCCGCGCGGCACGCTTTCGGTGCCCGAGCCCTGGAGCGACCCCGCCCTTTGGGCACCCTGACCGTCCATCGCCCCCAACCGTTAACCATGTCACCGACCCGTGAACCTATGCCCGTTGCCGGTCGCCGGCCCGCGTGATTAACTGTTTGTTAACCGGTGAGACCCCGCCGGCGAACGGGACAGGGAGTGGGGCGCGTGCGTATGCGTTTCGGGTGGATTGCCGCGGTTTCCGCGGGCTTGGCGGCGTTGACCGGACCGGCCGATGCCGGCGCGATGAAGACCGGCGGACTGACCTCCCAGCCGATCGGCCATTACGAGTTCTGCCGCCTTTACACCGAGGAATGCCGCCAGAAGCGCGGTTCCTACAAGCCGATCACCATCACGCGCGAGATCTGGGCGCAGATCCTCAACGTCAATTCGGCGGTCAACATGGTGATCGAACCGCGCAGCGACATGGACATTTACGGCCGCGAGGAGGTGTGGACGTTTCCCGACGCGGCCGGCGATTGCGAGGACTATGTCCTGCTCAAGCGGCAGATGCTGATCGGTCAGGGATTGCCGCCCTCGGGCCTTCTGATCACCGTCGTGCGCAAGCCCGATGGTGAGGGGCACGCGGTGCTGACGGTGCGCACCGACCGCGGCGACTTCGTGCTCGACAATCTCAGGTCCGAGGTCCGGCTCTGGAGCGACACCGAGTACACCTATCTCAAGCGCCAGTCCGAGCGTCATGCCGGGCACTGGGTGTCGATCGAGATGCCCGACCGGATGGTCGTCGGATCGGTCGAACCCGCCGCGCCGACCGTCTCCGCGCGCTGATCCCTGGCAGCCGCGAGGTGCGGCGGTCGTTTCCGTTCTTCGGTCCGTGATCAGCCGGCGTCGATCAGGTTGACGCCGCCGCGCCGCGCGCAGGCCGGGCCGGGGCCGCGCATATAGTGGCGCTCGGGCTGGTAGCTCGGCCAGATGAACTCGCGGATGGACCGGATTTGGACTTGGATGGCACGCATTGGTCTTGTCCCCTTTCTGACGGCGCCCCTGCCGTGTGCGATGGGTCCAAGACTAGCCCGCTACAGATGAATTCGGCGTGAACGGATCACCCGATTCGACGCCCTCCGAACCACCCGAACCCGCAATGCAACCACTATCGTTCATCTTGGTTAATGCCGCATTAACCTCCGGGCGCCGCTGCCCGCGCGGCGGCTAAGCATTGCCGATCAGCATGCCGGCGGCGAAGACCAGCGTGCCGCCCAGCACCACCTGGAAGATCGCCCGCCCCCACGGCGTTTCCATGAAGCGGTTCTGCGTCCAGGTGATCGCCCACAGTTCGATGACGACGATGACCATGGCGATGATCGTCGCGGTCCAGAAATGCGGGATCAGATAGGGCAGCGCATGGCCTAGGCCGCCGACGGTCGTCATGATGCCGGTTGCCAGCCCGCGCTTGATCGGCGAGCCGCGCCCGGAAATCACGCCGTCGTCGGAGGCCACCTCGGTGAAGCCCATCGAAATGCCCGCGCCGACCGAGGCGGCAAGGCCGACCAGGAAAGTCGTCCATGTGTCCTGGGTGGCGAACGCGGTGGCGAAGATCGGCGCCAGCGTCGATACCGATCCGTCCATCAGCCCGGCGAGACCGGGCTGCACATAGGTCAGAATGAACTGCTTGCGCTCGGCATCGTCCTCCTCCTGGCGCGCATCCTCTGGCAGATGCTCGGCTTCCAACTGCACCGCCTTTTGCTCGTGCCCGCTCTCGGCGAGCGCCAGATCGCCGAGCAGCGCCCGCGTGTCCGCATCCGTGCACTGCTGCGCCGCGCGATGATAAAAGCGCTGCGCCTGCGCCTCCATCTCGGCGGCCTGGCCGCGCACCTTGTCGAGACCCAGCGGACGCACCAGCCAGTCCGGCTTGCGGTCGTAATAGCCGCGCACATGTTCGCGCCGGATCAGCGGAATGGTGTCGCCGAAGCGCTTCTTGTGCAATTCGATCAGCCGGGTGCGGTGCTCGCCTTCCTCGGCGGCCATGTCCTCGAAGATCTTCGCTGATTGCGGATAGTCCTCGCGCAACCCGTCCGCATAGGCCAGGTAGATGCGCGCATCGTCCTCTTCCGACGAGATCGCAAGCGCAAGCACTTCCTGTTCGGAAAGGGACGAGAAGTCGCGCCGGTTGGATACGAAGAATTTGTTGAGCATGGAAATCACCAATTTGGAATAATTCTAAACTAAGCCTTTCGCGCTCCGGGGGCAAGCCGCGCAACGCCACGCGCCGCCACAAATTTGCTCACGCCAATGTGCATCGGGTTTAAGCAAGGTTTCACCGAAGCGGTGATAGGCTGTTTAGGCGACAGGGCGCATGCGGTGTGGGCGCAATGAGATGACCGAACAGCGCGATACGATATTGGACAACGTCGGGCATTGGCTGGCGGGCCGGCTGGAAGCGGAATCATCGGGCTACAGGCCCTACACGCCGTCCGATCCGCACACGCTTTACCGCACGCTGGAGCCGGGCGACGTGCTGCTGGTCGAGGGCAACCGGCAGATTTCGGCGGCGATCAAATATCTGACCCAGTCGACCTGGAGCCATGCCGCGCTTTATGTCGGCGATGCTCTCGACGAGGTCGATGCCTCGGGCCGCCGCCGGCGGCTGGTCGAGGTCAATCTGGGCACGGGCTGCACCGCCGAGCCGCTGGAGAAATACGAGACCTACAACACGCGCATCTGCCGGCCCGTCGGCCTGACGCCGTCCGACCGGCAGGTCGTCGTCGATTTCATGATCGGCAAGATCGGCCTGAAATACGACAACAAGAACATCCTGGACATGCTGCGCTATTTCCTGCCGACGCCGCCGGTTCCGGTGCGCTGGCGCCGCCGCATGATCCAGTTCGGTTCGGGCGATCCCACCCGCGCCATCTGTTCGACGCTGATCGCCCAGGCGTTCCAGGAGATCCGTTACCCGATCCTGCCCGAAATCACGCTGGCCAGGGGGCGCGCCCGTGCCGTCTCGGACTATTCGCGCCGCGAGATCATGCATATCCGCCATCACTCGCTGTTCACGCCGCGCGACTTCGATTCCTCGCCCTATTTCGAGATCGTCAAGCCGACCCTGCGTTTCGGCTTCGACTACAAGCGTCTTCAGTGGCGCGAACCGTCCAAACCCGGCGACGCGGCGCCCGAAGCCGCAACACCGCCGGCCGAGCCGGTCGCCATGCGCCGCTGAGCGCGATCCGAAGCGTACTTGACCGCCGTCAATGCACAGGCCCCCGCATGGGTCTTCAGTGCCGCCGCCGGCAGCCGGTGGCGCGCCGGCCCGTGACACGAGCCACCGCATCGGGAGACTGATGATGAAAGCGCACCGATCCCTGAACACCCTTGTCGCCGCGACCGTTCTGGCGCTTGGCGGACTGTCCGCAAGCGTGCCGGCCCAGGCCGGCGACTGCACCGGCCATATCGTCGGGGTGCGGCCGATCAGCCAGTACAACCACGCCGCAGGAAACGGGTTTCTCGCCGTGCGCAGCGGGCCGGGATCGGGTTACCAGCAGATCGGCGAATTCTACCTGGGCGACGAGATCGCCGTGTGGGACCGCCGGGGCAACTGGTATGCGGCCATGTGCATGTCGGGCCGCTGCAACAACCCGCTTTGGGGACAGCCCAACGCACAAGGCTGGGTCTACGGCAAGTACATCTCGGTCGGCGGCGTTTGCCCGTAGGAAAGCCTGCTCGCGGCACGTGTGCATAAAGCGCACTATCTGACCGTTTCGATCAGGGCGTCTGGTGCTGCCGCCGGCAGCGCCGGCCGTGGTCCGGTCAGTGGGAAGTCAGGCCGCCCGTGGGAACCCACTCGTCGTGGGCGCCCTGGCGGAACCCGTAGCGCTGCCAGGACTGTTTGCCCCGGGGCGACTCCAGTTTGAAGGAGATCTCCATATGGTGACCGTCGGTCCGCACCGTGATCGCGCCATAGACGCCGACATTGCGCTGCTGGATGAATTTCGTCAGCCGCGCGCGTTCCTGCCGCAACTTTTTCCTGTCGGCGTCCGATGTCGTCGGGGCTTCGATCTTCTTGTTCAGCAAAGCGAGCTTCTTGAAGTCGGCCGCACGGCCTTCCTCGCGCGTCGATCGCAGCAGTTCCGTACACAGCAGAAGAGGGGCATCGCCCCGGCCGAACTTGCCCAGCCGCCCCAGAAGGTCCGGTCGCGGATGGGCATGGCTTTCCTCGTCACCCGACGAAATCACGAAGGCAAACGGGTTGACGGCCTTGAGCAACTCGTCGGTGACGTCGTTCGAGCCGTGATGGCAGCTCTTCATGACGTCCGCCGACAGCCGGGTGCTGGCCTGCGGCACGGCGTCCGCCAGCGCCTGCGCGTCTCCGATCCCGCCATAGTGCCGCAGCAGAAAGTCCTCGGCGGGCGCGTTCAGGTCGCCCCCGAAGAACAGCTTGAACGATCTGAGCGTCAGCCGCAGCAGCACGGAGTGCCCGTTCTTTGTCTTGCCGGTGTTCTTGGCCGACGAGCCGATTCCGTCGCCGAACCAGCGCAGACGGTCGTTGCCAGCCGCGTCGCGCTCGACCACCGGACCGATGACTTCGATGGCAACGTCCCGCCCGGAGCTCGGCGCAAAGCCGGGGATCCACTGGCGCCCGGCCTCGGACTCGCCATGCTCGGTCGACAGCATTTCGATCTGGCCGACGCGGCCGCTCGTCATCGCCGTGTGCAAAAGCCTTGGATACCATTTCCGGCCCCGCACCGCCGGATCGCCATACAGCGTGCGCACCGCCGTGTCCGACGCGACGATGCCGGTCAGATATCGCCCGCTCGCATCGGTCGGCCCGAGCAGATCGTTGCCGGTGCGCTCCATCAGACCGTTGTGATAGATGCGGTCGAATTCGATGTTCTTGTGCGAGAAGATCTTCTGGAAGCCACGATAGTGGTCGGCATCGGGATGCGTGATGATCGCCGCGTGGAACCGGAATGCCCTCTTTAGCTTGCCGAAGCGCCAACGCAGGAAGCCGAACATGTTGTCGGATATGCCGGCGTCGATGACCATGATCCGTTCGCGCTCATGGTCCGCCGCACCCGCATCCGTGCGCGCTTCCGGCGAAACGACGACGCAGCCGTCGCCCTGGCCGACATCGAGAAACATGACCTCCAGCGGACGTTCGGTGGCAATGTCCTCGACCGGCAGGAAGTAGCGTTTGCTGCCCCATTTTATCTTCGCCCATCCATCCTGGTCGATCGATTCGATGTTGAGGAAATCGCCCCAGCGGACATCCCTTGCGCGGGCGCCGCGGGCCCTGCTCTTTTTGGAGTAGAGCCAGGTTGGACCGCTTTTCTCGTTTCGTTTTACAAAGCCGGTGTTCATGGGGGCTCCCGAAAGAAAAGAAAACACGTGGAACATCATAGCAGATCGGGTCCATTATTGGCAGTCGCCAAGAATTGGCGAGACGGATCCGATGATCCGTACCGGCGGTGCGCTGCCCCTGGCCATGCGGCCCCGCCGCCGTCCCCGCATCGCGATTCCGCTTTCCCGGCAAGGCGTTCGCCCCTATATCAGCGCCATGACCAAGACCCCGCGTTCCCACATCCGCAATTTCTCCATCGTCGCCCATATCGACCATGGCAAATCGACGCTCGCCGACCGGCTGATCCAGATGACCGGCTCGCTGGAAGAGCGCGAGATGAAGGACCAGGTGCTCGATGCGATGGACATCGAGCGCGAGCGCGGCATCACCATCAAGGCCAACACCGTCCGGCTCGAATATGATGCGCGCGACGGCGAGCACTATGTGCTCAACCTGATCGACACGCCCGGCCATGTGGATTTCGCTTACGAGGTCTCGCGGTCGCTGGCGGCCTGCGAGGGCTCGCTTCTGGTGGTCGACGCCAGCCAGGGCGTCGAGGCGCAGACGCTCGCCAACGTCTATCAGGCGATCGACAACGACCATGAGATCGTCACCGTCCTCAACAAGGTCGACCTGCCCGCCGCCGACATCGACCGTGTCAAGGCGCAGGTCGAGGAGGTGATCGGGCTCGATGCGTCCGACGCCGTCGAGATCTCCGCCAAGACCGGGCAGGGCGTTGAAGAGGTGCTTGAAGCGATCGTCACCCGCCTGCCCGCGCCGCCCGAAGGCGAGGGCGCCGAGCCGCTCAAGGCGCTTCTGGTCGACTCATGGTACGACGCCTATCTGGGCGTCGTCGTCCTCGTGCGCATCATCGACGGCCGGATGAAACGCGGCCAGACGATCCGCATGATCGGCACGGACGCCAGGTATCAGGTCGACCGCGTCGGCGTCCTGACGCCCAAGCTCGTCACCGTGCCCGAGCTCGGCCCCGGCGAGATCGGTGTCTTCACGGCGTCGATCAAGGAAGTCGCCGACACCCGCGTCGGCGACACGATCACCGAGGACAAGCGCCCCACCGCCGTGGCGCTGCCCGGGTTCAAGCCGGCCCAGCCGGTCGTCTTCTGCGGCCTGTTTCCGGTCGATGCCGCCGACTTCGAGGATCTGCGCGCCGCCATCGGCAAGCTGCGCCTCAACGATGCGAGCTTTTCCTACGAGATGGAGACCAGTGCCGCGCTCGGCTTCGGCTTCCGCTGCGGCTTTTTGGGCCTTCTGCATCTCGAGATCATCCAGGAGCGGCTGGCGCGCGAATTCGATCTCGACCTGATCGCCACCGCGCCGTCGGTCGTCTACCGCATGACGCTGACCGACGGCACGGTCACCGAACTGCACAACCCCGCCGACATGCCCGACGTGGTCAAGATCGCGACCATCGAGGAGCCGTGGATCAAGGCGACCATCATGACGCCGGACGATTATCTGGGCGCCATATTGCAGCTCTGTCAGGAGCGGCGCGGCATCCAGACCGACCTTGCCTATGTCGGCAGCCGCGCCATGGTCACCTATGAGCTGCCGTTGAACGAAGTCGTGTTCGATTTCTACGACCGGCTCAAATCGATCTCCAAGGGTTATGCTTCGTTCGACTACCAGATCGACGGCTATCGCGAGGGCGATCTGGTGCGCATGTCGATCCTCGTCAACGAGGAGCCGGTCGACGCGCTGTCCATGCTGGTGCACCGCTCGGCGGCCGAAAAGCGCGGCCGCGTCATGTGCGAAAAGCTCAAGGACCTGATCCCGCGCCACATGTTCAAGATCCCCATCCAGGCGGCGATCGGCGGCAAGGTGATCGCACGCGAGACCATCTCGGCGATGCGCAAGGACGTGACCGCCAAATGCTATGGCGGCGACGTGACGCGCAAGCGCAAGCTGCTGGAAAAGCAGAAGGAGGGGAAGAAGAAGATGCGCCAGTTCGGCCGCGTCGAAATCCCCCAGGAAGCGTTCATCCAGGTGCTGAAGGTGGATGGGTAGGGCTGCCCAAACCGTCTTGCCGCCCCTGCCTGCGTCATCCCTGGGCTTGACCCCGGGATCCATTCCTGCGGCCTTGACGATCAAGCGCTCGGAACACACCGCATTCTATCGCCAAGAGAGTCGGCGTTGACGATGAGGCGCGAGGCGCGCGCGCGGCCGGCTTGATCGTGACGGTCAGTCACGCGTTTGTTTCTGGGCAAACCGGCGAACCAGCCGGAATGGATCCCTGTGACAAGCACAGGGATGACGGCAGGGGTGGGTGCCAACAAAGACTTACCCCCTTCCCCCAAACCGCCCTTGCACTCCCTCCCATCCCCTTCGCGGAAACCCGGCGGCGTACCGTGCCGGCGGGGAAGGGGACGATGGCGCGGTTGGCGGTGCAGAGGTGCCCCGCTGGGCGATGAGCCCCCAAGCCGCGTTTGGCCCCGCAGCATCCTTGATGCTGCGGAAAGGTTCCAAACGCCCCCCTTTGAATCGCCTGCAAGCTTTCCGGATCGGCCGAGCCGATCCGGGCGCAGGCGTGCGGAATGATGATGTGCGGCGTCCATCCGTGCCTGCCATCGGCCAGACCCGGCCGGTGATCAGGGATGGGCGGGGCCGGCCGAACCCTCCCGGCGTTGCGGGGCGGCCACGGCAGGGCGAAAGCCTCGCGCCGGCGCCACCCATGACGATCACCGCAAGCCCGTCGAACGGGCGGTCCGGCGACCGCACCCAACATAGCAATGCGCGGTTTCCGGATCGCCCGTTGGTCCTTCCATTGCGCTCACGCCACTCCCGCTGGCGCGGGACGGCTGCGCGTGCCCGCCGAAAAGTCGGCGACGCGCAGTCGCGCTTGCGGGCTGCGCCCGTCGGCGGTGGGGCGTCGCAGGCAAGCAAGGCGGTCAGAAGCCGCCGGATCAACCCTTTCTTCACCATGGCGGCGTTTACCAATGCGAAACCCTAAAGCTTAAGCGGCTGGCAATGGGCCCCGTGTAGGTTGGCGTTACTGATCGGGCCGGAGAGAAACCCGACAGAGTGCTGTTTGACACGAGTAAGGAGCTCACCAATGTTTGCACGTTTTCTGAAAGACGAGTCGGGTGCGACTGCCATCGAATACGGTCTGATCGCTGCTCTGATCGCTGTTGCCATCATCACCGGCGCAACGGCCCTGGGTACCGAACTGAACGCCAAGTTCGACGAAATCTCCTCGGAGCTCGCTGGCTGATAACGGCCATCTTGCTGAGGCCGCGAGCCTCGCCACAGGGATTTCGACCCAACAAGAAGACGGCCCGCTCGACCGAGCGGGCCGCTTTGCTTTGAGCGCCGCGGGCGCGGTCGCCCGTCGCGCGCGACCTTGCCAATGCCGGGCCGCCGTTCTAGGCAGCAGGCGCACCTCATCGAACAGGGGCGACCGGTGTCGACCAGTATCCAACGTGTCATCCCGGTGATTTTGTGCGGCGGCGCCGGCTCGCGCCTGTGGCCGATGTCGCGCGACGACAAGCCCAAACAGTTCCATACGCTGGCCGGCGATGCCAGCCTGTTGCGCCAGACGCTGGCGCGCATGCCGCAGGGCATCGTCGACGATGTCGCGTTCGGCGCGCCCTGCGTCATCGGCAGCGCCGCGCTGGCGCCGCTGCTTGAAGCCGAACTGGCCGGCACGGGCGATTTCCGTTTGGTGCTGGAGCCGGCGATCCGCGACACGGCCGCCGCGATCGCCGCAATCACCGCGCTGCACGAAGCGGGCCCGGGCGATGATCTGCTGCTCGTCGTGCCGTCCGACGCGCTGATCGAGGATCACGCCGCCTTCCGCACCGCCGTGGCCCGGGCGGCGCGCACCGCGGCGGCCACCGATGCGATCATGCTGATCGGCATCGCGCCGACCCGGCCGGAAACCCAGTACGGATACATCGAGACGGGCGAACCGCTGGGCGAGGGGCACGCCGTGCGCCGGTTTCGCGAAAAGCCTGACGCGGACACCGCGCGGCACTATATCCATCAGGGCGGTTTTCTGTGGAATGCCGGCATGTTCCTGTTCCGGCCCGGCCGCTTGGCGGAGGCCTTCAGAAAGCATCAGCCGCAGATATGGGATTGCGCATCGCAGGCCGTGCGCGCCGCGCGGATCGACGGCTGCAGGCTGTGGCTCGATGCGCCGTCCTTTTCGGCCGCCGAAAAACTGTCGGTCGACTACGCCATCATGGAAAAGGCGGACAATATCGGCGTGGTGCGGGCCGGTTTCGACTGGGACGATCTGGGTTCCTGGGCCCAGCTCCACGATCACGCGCCAAAGGATGACAAGGGCAATGCGCTCGACGGGGACATTATCGCCGTCGACAGCGCCGGCAACCACATTCGCGCGCGCGATGCCATCGTCGCTGTCGCCGGCGTCGACGATCTGGTGGTGGTTGCCGAAGACAACAAGGTGCTCGTGACCCGCCGGGACCGCACGCATCTTGTCAAGGACGTGACGGCTCTTTTCAAGGAGCGGTTCGTCGGCTCTGTCGCCCATGACCGCTCCGAGGCCGCAATCCGGCGATGGCTGTTCGACGCATGTCTGCCGTTCTGGGCCGGACCCGGCATCGATGACGTCCATGGCGGTGTGCATGAGGGCCTCGGCCTCGATGGCGCGCCGGGCACATATGCCTCCAAGAGGATGCGCGTGCTGCCGCGCCAGATCTACAGCTTCGTCCATGCAGGGGCGCTGGGCTGGAACAATGCGCCCGGCGGCCTGCTCGAAACCCTGTTCGAAACGCTCGTGTCAACGGCCTGGGACACCACCGATGGCGGCTGGATCCACCGCTTCAACCCGGACGGAACCGTGCAGGACGGCCGGCGCGACACCTACGATCAGGCCTTCGTGCTGCTGGCGCTGGCGTGGCTCCACAAGGCCGGCGGGTTTGACGATGCCCGCGCATGGGCCGACCGGACGCTCGACTTCATGGATGCCCGCCTCGCCGATCGCCGCCATGGCGGTTTTGTTGAAGACACGTCCGGCAGCGCGCCGCGGCGCGCCAATCCGCACATGCACATGCTCGAAGCCATGCTCGCCTGGTATGACGCGACGGGTGAGACCGGATTTCTCGATCGCGCCGAAGCGATGGTCGAACTGTTCGACGCCCGCTTTTTCGATGCGGCAGCGGGCACGGTGCGCGAGTTTTTCGCCGACGATTGGACGCCGCTGTCTGACGATCCGGCGCACACCGCCGTCGAGCCGGGCCATCACTATGAATGGGCATGGCTGCTTCTGCGCTTTGCGGACAGACGGTCAAGGCCGGGGCTTGAGGACAAGGCACGCGTGCTGTTCGCGACCGCCCGCGCATTCGGCCATCATCCCGCGACGGGCGCGGTGGCCGACACCATGCGGCCCGATGGCGCCGGTCAGTCGGCAACGGCACGCTGCTGGCCACAGACCGAAGCGCTCAAGGCCGCCATCGCCCTTGAAAAGCGGGGCGTATCGGGCGCGACCGCGCTACGCCGGCAGATGATCGATGTGCTGTTCGATCACTATCTCGCCCAACCGGTCTCCGGTGGCTGGGTCGATGCGATCGATCCGAACGGCAAACCAATCGCCGCCGACATGCCGGCGAGCACGCTCTATCACGTCGTCTGCGCGCTGGCCGAACACCTTCAGGCGGATTGACGGCCCTCGTCCGTGCCGGGCACCAGGGCGCCGGGCCGGAAGGTTACGGTCAGCGGGTCCTCGCTGGCGAGGCGGCGCTGGAGCGCGGCATCGGCGTCGGCGCCAAGCGTCTGTTCCCAGTCGCGCAGCGTCGTGCGGTAGGTGCCAAGCGCGTTCATCACCGCCGTCTTGCGGTCGCGCGATGCGTGGGCAAGCATGGTAACCGACAGGCAGAGCACCTGCTCTGTCCCGGAGAAGGAAGCGCCTGTAACCGGCACGGCGATCACCGCTTCCCGCCCGATGAAGCCGCAGGCGGTCGCATTGGTGTCGAGCGCCGTGCCGATCACGCCGATGCCGGTTCGCTGTTCGCCGTAGCCGGAAAGCGCTTCGGGAGCGTTGGCGCCCGATGCAAGGCGCACCAGCGTCGTGCCTTGCGTTTCCTCGACATCGAGCAGCGTCGCCCATTCGATCCTGTCGATCAGACGCGACACCACGGCAAGCGTCTTGCGGTTGTCGAACGACATGCGGCTGTCGGCAAGCCCGAGCCCGGCGAGCGCATCGCGGATCGCCGATGACAGTGCATCCTCCGGGCGGCTCGTGCCGACCGTAACCGTCTTGGCCTGGTGGCGGATCGTATCGACGGGGCGCGAGGTCTCTTCGAACGCATCGCGGACGAGCGGCAGTGCGCCCTGCGCCAGCCCTGCGACATCGGACCCTTCGCGCATCCGCCGGGCAAGGCGCGCAATCTGCGCCAGGTGACTGGCGCCGAGACCCGAATTGAAGGCGCCGTCGGCCGCCTCGTCGACAAATGTTTCAAGGGCCGCCACGACCGCTTCCGGATCGGCGCTTTGTTCGCCCATCGCCACCAGCCCCAGTCCGGCAAGGATCGGCTTGAGCTTCTGCGCGCCCTCGTCGATGGCCTTGGCCGCGTGGAAGCCGAACAGATGGCCGGCCACCGTGGCCAGGACGAAGGCAAGATCGGCGCCGACATCGGGCAGCGCGATGACCCGTTCGGCATAACCGGCAAAGGCATCCGCATCGGCGCCCTTTGTGGCGAAGACGACCGGACGGCCATTGTGTGCCTTGAAGATCGCCGCTTCCTTGACGACGTCGCCGACCAGATCGCCCGGCAGATCGTTGGCGACCACCAGCGTCAGCGGCTCTGTCGACAGGTCGATGTGCTTTTTGTCCTCGGTGTAATCGACCGGGATCGACTTGTAGCAAAGCTCTGACAGCTTGATGCGGATTTCCAGCGCCGCCACGTGATTGACGCCCGAGCCGGTGACCGCCCAGTAGCGGGAATAGGGGGCAAGATCGCGGGCGCATTGGCCGATATGGGCTTCGTCCGCAAGGACCGCCGCGATGTGCCCGGGCAGCTTTTCCAGTTCGCCCATCTCGTAGGCCA